CCCCCCCCCCCCCCCCCCCCACCCCCCTAAACCCTAAACCCTAAACCCTAAACCCTAAACCCCCCCCCCAACCCCACCCTCCGGCCCCAACGCCACATCCTTTCGCACGGTGCATGGTAAGCAACGAGCGAGCCCTCCCATACACAGAGTCTCCGTTGCACTTCCTTTGAAGGGTTTAGGGTTCAGGGTTTAGTTTTGGCTCAAGCTTGTTAGGATCCTTTGACGTAAAACTGGTTAATTACGACGAAACTACAAGTCGAGACTGTAAACCCTACACCCTAAACCCTAAGCCGTCGTCGCAAAAGCCCTGAAGCCTAGGTCCTAAACCCTAAACCCTAAACCCTAAACCCTAAACCAGGTCCTAGGTACGAGGTCCTAAGCCGAAAACCGAGGCCCCTTAGCCGTAGACCCTCAAAGACTCTTGAAAAAAGCCGGCCTCCTAGGTCTTTGGGGTTTAGGGTTCTTTAGGGTTTAGGGTTTAGGGGTTTGGGTTTAGGGTTTAGGGTTTAAGGTTTAGGGTGTAGGGTTTAGGGTTTAGGGTAAGTTCAGAGAAGATAAAGCCGGTAGAACAAAAACACTTGAAGCCCTCGTCACTCAGCAGGAAGCGGCCAACGTAGGGACGAGGGAAGATAGTTGAAGTTAGGTTTTGTTCAGTGAAAATTGGTGTACGATTTTTGCTAACGGATGTGCCCCTAAAAAGAACCCTAAACCCTGGAAGCCCAAAGCCCTAAACCTCAGCCGTGCAGCTTTGGGAAGCCGAGTCGTTACTCTTAGCCTAACCGCCAGCCAATTTCCCAAAGGCTCCATCTAGTTTGTACTTAGGCCTTAACTCAAGTACCTATATAGGATCCTAAGTCCTAAGTATATACTATATGTGTACATGGAGCCTTCGGGTATGTGGGTACTGAGGAAGAAACGTAATCTAAGTTAACTACCATAATCGTATACAGAGACATTTGTATGAGAAGAAACATTCAGTGTCCCGTTCAACTACATGGTGACTGAATACACGCTTTTGAAAACAGATGAACTAAACCGTAGCCAAAACCCTACACCCTAAACCCTAAACCGTAGCCTAGACCCTAAACCCCCAAACCCGAGGTTCATAGACTCGAATCTCGAGCACCTTTGCCGGCCGCTCGGCGAATATGCTGTCTATGATCCGCAAGCTTGATACGATAAAGTTGTTTAGTGTTTAGAGTTACCCTATTAAGCCCCTGAAGCCCTAAAGGGGCTTAATCTGGAATCCTTGCTGAAGTTTTTGTGAAGGGATGCAAGTCCAGTCGTCAGGGCTCCACATGGAGTCTTTCAGGTGTAGCAGTGTAGTTCTTATTTCCGGTACTTCTTGTTTCGCTGCGCCGGGGTGATTGGAGGCATCAACACCTCTCAAGTTTAAAATGTACGTTCATGCTGGATCCCAAATGCCGGCAAATCCTGCATCCTAACTTGACCCTACTCTGGTGTTCCAAATAGCCCAAAGTTCTGTAGCTACTTCTTATAGACTTTAGACCTCAAAGTAGATACTACTGGCATACTTGAAGCCCTGCGATGGGAGCTTGGATTAGGGGGACCCTTGGGGATAGAGACCCTCTCAATAAGGTCCCTTGTAAGAGAGCCAAAAGTAGGGTTCAGAAGGGGTACCCTTTAAGGGGTACCCCTAATAATACTACCTATGCGACCACAATCACAAGCTGAACTGTCTGAGCGCAAGGCCCAGCATCCCTCAAGCCAAATACCCGTAAGGGTCCATGTACCCAAATAGTATATACATTGGCCCTAAAGTACCTATATAGTGACTACATTAAGGCCAAAGTATATACTAATTTGGGTACATGGACCCTTAGGGTACCAACCACCCCGAACACGGAGATCGGTAGCTTTCGGACATGAGGACTGAATAGTAGGAACTCTTATGTCGGAGATGTTGGCTTTCAGGGTTTTGGGTTTGGGGTTTCCCTCAAAACAGAACCTAAGCCCATTAAAAGCCATCAACTCGTGCCCTTTATTCTAGTCTGTTTAGGCCCCTACTCAACCCTTAGATGCTACACCGTATAGTGTTTAGGGCTTGGGCCTAAACTCTAACCTCTACACCCCTAGACCCTAAACCCTCAACCCTAAACCCTAAACCCTAAGCCCCTTAGACCAGACCCGAAGTTGAGGAAGGGGGAGGATCCCCACTTCATGGGCCAGTGGGGCCAGGAGCGGCTATTAGCATGTAGGTTTAAGTTTAGGTGACAGGGTGACAGGGGTCAGGATTTTAGGGTTTAGGGTTTCGGGGTTTAGACTCTAAGCCCTAACTTTAGAAGTTTATAGGGTTTAGGGGTTGAGAGTGCGGTGTTTGGGGTTACTTTTTTTTGCTGGGGGCATGGAGGGCATGGTTTAGAAACTTTGGTTCGGAGGATGGGTTTTGGTGGCATTCGTTTTCTCGGGCTCTGGAGTTTGTATGGGTTTAGGGTTTATCGAAAAAGCATGGCTTCAGCATGTCATTCTGTGGGTTGGTCAACGGAGGTGACCATGGCATCGGAAGTTTAATATCCAGATCTCATAATCGGCGCGCAAAACCTCGCGCTGACAAAGGATTGTCAACACCGCGTTGCAGCTGTTGTATACAGGCGTTCCTGGCAAAGCCTTAAGTCTGTCTGAGGGGGTCTGAACATCAACCCTAAATTCCAATCCAGCTAAGTCCTGAACTCAAACCCTAAGTTAGGTAGTGGGTACCTTGTTGATCCTCCTTTGAAGAGCCTCAAGCGAAGGTCCATGTGCTTGAACTACCAAAACCTACTGTTTTGTAGGGGGGGCTATATAATACATATCCTAAACCCTAAACCCTAAACCCTAATCCCCACACCCTAAGCCCTAGACCCTAAAACCTGTAACCAACTCGAAGGAAAGGTCCCTAAAGTACCCAAATAGGGGCTTAGGGTTTAGGGTGTAGGGTTTAGGGCTACTTTAGGGCAAAAGTATATTATTTTTGGGTACATGGACCCTAAAACCCAAAACTCATACAGTCTTATAGTACCCTTCTAGAATTCCTTAAAGGAGCCCTTAAAGGAACCCTTTTGGGTACATGGACCCCTAGGGTTGCGGCCCCTACATTAAACCAGCTGGGGGTTTCCGACAATAGGGGACCCTAGTATAGTACCCTAAATAGTAGGATCCTTCTTATAAGGACCCCCAAAATAAGGTACCCCTTATGGATCCTTGTTATAAGGACCCCCCCCGATATAAGGTAGCCCTTATCGATCCTTCTTATAAGGACCCCCCAATATAAGGCACCCTCTTATTTTCGGAAACTCCCAGTAGGATCCCCTAAACCCTAAACCCTAAACTGCGAAGGACAGGTTCCTGGTGGAGAATGTTTTTGGGAACTTGGAGGGTCCCGGGCTCTACGTCGATGTGGCCTGGCCGCTTAGGTCAGGGCTTAGGGTTTGGGGCTTAGGGCTTAGGGCTCTGGGCTTAGGGTTTAGGGCTTAGGGTTAGGGTTAAGTCTCCCAAAGGGTCCTCTGTACCTGTATAGAACAATGTAGGGTTTCTGTATTAGGAAGTACTATTGTGATTTAGGGAAGTCTCCCCCATAACAGTACATAGGGCCCTTTGGGCCGAAAAGAACCTACATGGTTACTAAGGCAGGGTTTAGGGTTTAGGGGTTTAGAGTTTAGGGGTTTAGTGTTTAGGGGTTTCGGGTCTGCCTTATGTCTGTCATTGTGGACTTGACTCCAAAAAGATCGTCCTCATTTTAGTTTTGCGAACCTACCTCCAAAATGGTCGTATAGTATATACGGACTCCTTTGTCTAGGACATTTTCAGGTGGGTAGTTACAGTTCTAGGAGCCTTATAGAAGGTCTAGAAGCCCTATATACCCTAAACTCCCCACCTGCAGTTTCCTGTAACTTTGGGAATGGCTACTAGTAGTATTTCTGAAGGTTCATTATTGCAGCTTATACGATGATAACCCTAGGGGCTCCCCACTGTAATTCGGTTTAGGGTTTAATATTAGGGTTTAGGGTTTAAGGTTTAGGGTTTAAGGTTTAGGGTTTAAGGTTTAGGGTTTGGGGTTTAGGGTTTGTAGTAAACCCCCAAAAGTTGGAAACCGGATTGAGGACAATCAGTGCTGGGATTCCCTATACAGTACTCTTAAGGATTGAGGCTATAAGGTTTCCAACTTTCGGGCTTCTCCTGCATACCCCAGAACCCGCTTCTAACTCACCCAGCTGAGTATCCAAAAGCAATGTAACCTTTTCTTTTGCTGCGCACTGTCTTTTAGGATCCTTGAAAGGGACGGGGGTTCAAGAAAGTATCTAACCTACACCCTAAACCCCTAAACCCTAAACCCTAACCTCAGGTCGTAAAGCCTAACCCCCTATACCGCAAACCCAAAACCCCTAAACCCAAAACCCCTAAACCCCTAAATCCCAAACCTTCGGCTCCCTAAGGTTCCTTAAGGTCATTGAGGTTCCCTAAGGTACCCTTCCCCCTTAGAACCCACTCCCTTAAGGATCCCATCACTCTTAGAATCGGAGCGCCACAGTTATCAAGGCCCCTATAGTACTGTAGCTTTTTCCAGGAAGTGTTTAACCATCGTGGGGCAGTTCAATCGCTGTATAATCCCGCAACTCTTAACCCCAAAACCTACACTGGAAACCCTGAACCTTAATTCAGCTGCCAACAGCACGCCAGTCGTTTCGAAGCAACATGTAGTCTTTATAATCTAGGGCTCCAAGTATACAAGCAGTACCTTGTTGGGCTTTAAAGTCTATAAACCCTTACACCCTAAACCCTAAGCCCTATAAAATCGTACCTACTTGGAGGCCGTAGGATATGCTACCTAATGTAGGGGCCGAAAGAATTATCAATACTTTTCTTAGGGTTCCTTGTTATAAGTATAGTCTAATGGGCCCAAAAACCCTATTCTCATTATAAAGGCCCCTACATTACATGCTAAACCCGACTCGTCAGGTGGGCACCTCTCACCCTTTCCATCTCTCCAACACTGCGTGTCGCAGCTGAACTTGGATATAAAGTTCACCTTTGGACTTGAGCCCAAACCCTGTCCTAAGCCATAAACCCAGAACCCCTAAACGCCTAACCCCTAGACCATGAAATATGAATCTGCAGTTTTAGGCTTCCGCATGATACCTGGCCCTCAAACCCCAACTCCCTGAACCCTAAACCCTAACCCTTAGTCCAGGCGTCGCTCTCGCTCGGATTGTCTGCAGACTGCTTGTATACCCCCTAAGCCCCTAAAGCCAAACCCCAAACCCCTAAACCCTAAACCCAAAACCCTTAAACCCCTACAAAGATGGTGCGTCGAGGTTTCCAGTAACAAAGGTTCGGGGTTCAGGGGGTTAGGGCTGTTTCCAGGGAGTGTTAGGAAGTGAAGCATATACAAAGACTTTCGAGTATGCTGGCTCATCAATCGGACCCTCCGGGCAGGAACGTTTGGAGAGGGAGATGAAACGCCGCGTTCAAGCAGAAACGGCCGGTGGACTGCAGCACTTTGCACGAGCAGTGGGCCCAATCGTCGAGCAAGAGGATGACGAGCTTTCGGTGAAGTCCCAGGCAGTGCACGACGAGTTGGCTATGAGCGGTCAGGGGACCCTTAGACTCCAATACCCCTTAATTAAGGAATATACCTTAAATTATAGTAGGATCCCTAATATGATTTAAGGTATATTCCTTAATTAAGGGGTATTGGAGTCTCTGGGGAAAGCCCAGGTTGAGACACCGCTGGAAATATCTCCGATCCGCTGCTGTGGGCAGGAGCGATTCAGCTTGACGGTGCGAACCAGTTCAACAATCCTCCAGATCCAGCACAACATCGCCGATCTCTACGGCATGGCCGTGGCCTCGCCCCTTAAACCCTCAGCCTTAAACCCCTAAACCCCTAAGGCCTAAACCTCTGAATCCTAAGCCCTAAACCTTACACCCCTAAGCCCTAAACCCCTGAACCCTAAACCCCTAAACCCCAAACCATAAACTTTAAACCCCTAAGCCATAGACACCTTCATTCATTGATCCCTTAAAAGAAGCCTTAGACCCCTTATAGATCCCGTAAAGAAAACCTAAACCGTAAGATCGAATCTCCACAGCTCTTAGTGCTCCAAATTCTCGCAGCCCCAAGCAGTTTAACGCCTGTTTAGGGTTCAGGGGTTTAAGGTTTAGGGTCAAAGACCTGAACCCGAAGCCCATCAAAAGCCACGAAATGCTCTGGCAACCTTAACCCCTAAAGTTTTAGAAGCTCTAGAAAAGGCCCTAAACCCTAAAATCTAAACCCTAAACCCCTAAACCAAAAAGGTTCCAAAGCCATAGTAAGTCCAAGGTTTCTGGACAGCTGTCTTGGTTGGCGGGGCGTCTGCCTTGAGCCAAACCCGCGGCTACACCACGATGCTTGTCTCAAAAAGGGTTTAGGGTTTAGGGCTTTAGGGGTTTAGGGCTTGGGGGTTTAGGGGTTTAGGGCTTAGGGCTTTAGGGGCTTAGGGTTCTAGGGGTCTAATTCCTGAGAGCCTTGTAAGTTTCACAAACTCAACCAGCCAGAAACCCCGAACCCAAACCTTCCAAAATCCGTTCATTAAGGAATAAATTTGTAATCTCAGTAGGACCCTTAATGTGATTGAGGGTATGAATTAATGGGTTTTGGAAGGTCTGGGAACTGGGAAACCCTCAACCCTAAACCTCAAAAGCCCCTTAACCCTTTAGATCCCTTAAAAGGAACCCTAAACCCTAAACTCTTTCAAGGGACCCTAAACCCTAGTACAGCCAGACGCCAAACCCCAAACCCAGAGCACTTTGGCTTATCCCTGCGCCGCAAACCTTCATACCCCAGGGGGTCGGTTTAGGGCTTATGTCTATAATGCTACTATTATGGATATAGGGTTTAGGTCCTTACCCAGAGGGTCCATAAAGACGGCTGTTATGGAATCAGGCCCCAAAAGACCATCCTAATCGTGGTTTTCGGGGTCCGAATTCCAAGATAGTAGCATATGTGGACCCTTATCAACCCTAAACCCTTAAAGCAAAACCCAACCCTAAATCCTAAACCCCGAAACCCCTAAACCCTAAACCCCGAAAAAATCCCAATCCTAAACCCTAAAACCCTAAAGCCTAAACCCTATAACCCGCAAAAGGCCCTAGCCTAAACCCTAAACCCCTAAAGCCTAAACCCTAAACCCTAACCAGAGACTCCAATACCCCAAAAAGAGGAATCTACCTTAAATTATAGTAGGATCCCTAATATGATTTACGGTATATTCCTTAATTAAGGGATGTTGGAGTCTCTGGGTAACCCAGCCCCCCCTAAACCCTAGACCCCTAAACCCTAAACCCTAAACCCCTAAACCCTAAACCCCAAACCCTAACCTAAAGACAGAACCTCGAGCCTTCCACGTTCAACTCCCTCGGAGCATTCGAACCGAAACTCCTCTGGGGGCTCAGTTACCTTTGGTTTAGGGCTTGAAGGGTTTAGGGTTTAGGGCTTATGGGGTCTAGGGTCTAGCTTCTTGAGGGTTTAGGGTATAAGGGTTAGTGGGGTTTAGGGTATAGGGGTTTAGGGTTTAGGCTATAAGGGTTTAGGGTGTTCAGGGTTGAAGGGTTTAGGGGTTTAGGGTTCAGGGTTCAGGGTTTAAGGGTTAGGGTTTAGGGTATTGGGGTTTAGGGTTTATGGTTTCGGGGTTTAGGGTCCAGGGTTTTGGGTTAAGGGCGCCCAGTGCTTCGAATTCTAAAGGGAAGGCTACTCATCACGGGCAGCAGCCCTATTACCAATACGGAAGTTTACAAACCTGTGAACAGTCGTAGGTTCTCATGAAAGGGCAGACGTCAAACCTATGCAGCATCCCGAAAAGCGAGACATTGTCCGATTTTCGTAAAGCCGAACTAGAGCAAACTATCCTTCTCCAGGTCCTGCGCGGACTCCGGCATCTCGGCTGAATCCTAATTCTTCAAGGTGTAGGACAAAAAACGAGCTGTTTTCTGTGGTTGGTATAGGGTTTCATATGGTTTAGGTGGCCTTGTTTCTAGGGTTTCTGTTTTAGGGTACAGGTGTCTCATGATCAATCGAGTAGCTCTAGCAGGACCTGTTCCGTGGTGAACGCTTGCGCCTGGGCCAATGAGACCTCGTTCAAGCCTCTCGCCTGGGATTAGGCTTGCTGTTGTTCAGCGAACCTAGGAAATCCAAAAGCTTCTTTTGTCTTGGCTTATAAAGGCCGCGTTTCCATTGTTCTGCCGGTAGCAAGCTTAAGATACAGAACCTAAAATAGGGCTAGAAGAGCTGGTGGTGTCCCTCGGTAAGGTGCATGCATTCGAGACATTTTTCTACTGGAGTGCACGCCCAAGGGCCGGAGCAAATCATATGATTTCGACGGCAGCAACACTATCGGTTACAAACTCTAAAGCCTAAACCGCTTTAGGGCTGTCAGGGTTTGAGTTTCAGGCATCCCGTGGCCATAGAACGTGGCTCGCCTTGGAAACTAACAGTAGTTCAGCTGTAGGGATGAATTGTTGTCAAAACTAGGGTTCCGAAACTATAGGGTGTCGTATTATGTAAGAGTAGAATCATATGGGAGGGGGCCCAAAAGGCACCATGATTTTCACAGTTACCCGTATTCGTCGTCATAGTCTTACTCTCGCCGGGGGTATGTTGAAAGCCAGCATCTCTTAAGGCAGCCACTGTTCCCTGTCCCCCAGCTCCTGCTACGAGAACGAAGTGAACGTGAAGTGCCACCATCCTAATCCCCAAACCCCCTAAACCCTCGAGAAATAAATAAGTAGAAATTGCTTGTTGCTGTTGGCCATCCGGAAACCTATCTTATTTCCAGTCGGGACACAACCTTCGAAATTTCCATAAACCCATTTTCTTCAGTGTTAAGCGACTCAACTCACCCGCGATAGCCCAGCACACACCGCCCAGCCCAGCCCGCCGGCCTAGCCATCCCTCAACCTTCAAGGAACCCTCCTGAACCCTCCTGAAAACCTAAATTATAAGCCCTAAACCCCATATACCTTAAACCTTAACCCTAAGCCCGAAAACCTAAACCCTAAACCCTAAACCTTAAAGGAACCCAAAGCCGTAGGTTTTCCAACGACATGGAGCTCGCGGCCCGGACGAGCATCGAGGATCTGAAGCCGAGCAGGCGGGTGGCTTAGGGCTCTTTAAGGGTTTAGGGTTTAGGGTTTAGGGGCTCCGGTTTTAGGGTTTAGGTTTTAGGGTTTGAGGTTTAGCGATGATTCCGAAAATGTGCAGGGTTTAGCGTTTAGGGTTTAGGGGCTCCTTAAAGGGAGTTTTGCTAGGTCCCTTCCATCTAAGGGCTCTATATGGTTTAGGTTTTTTTGTCGGGGGGTTTGGATCTGAAGGCGTGCTGGAACTGGTTTCTTGAAGCTGAGTTTCTTCAAGGGATCTGCATCTAAGGTCGTTTTAAGGGTTCTAATAGGGTTCAGGGGTCAAGGCTTGGAGAGTACGGTAGGATTGCAGCTTGCCCAAAGGCTCCATGTACCTTTATAGTAGATGCTTAAGCCCTAAAGTACCTGTATATGGAGCCCTTTAAGGCTTAAGTAACTACTATAAAGGTACATGGAGCCTTGGGGTTGCAGAGTTTACAGTGAAGGTTCCTTGTTTGCGTGCCGCTTCCCGGGCTGTCATAGGTTTTGAAGTAGGGTTCAGGGTTCTGAGGGTTTAGGGTTTAGGGCT